TTAAGAAACCCTGCTCTAGCAGAAGAGGCTTATTTTGAATAAATGGTTACATTATGGCAGGGTATGTGCAAAAATATAGGTAAGTACAGGGTATCAAAGGATGCCTGTATGGGAAGGAGGAGACATTGGAGAAAACTTCATGGGGAAGTGACTCCAAGTCATTATTTTTACTTAATGTCTTTGTAATCAGTTGTCCAAGAATGACTCTGATTGAAAATTTATTAGTTAAGAACTATATATTGGGATTTTTGTTTTGTTTTGTTTTTGCACAACCCTCTGGGTAATGTAAGCAAATGTTTCTGATGATTTTATATTTTCCTTTAAAAAAATTCCCCTCAGAGCCTGGGAGAGACTTAAAAAGCTCAAATCCATTCAGCTTTAATCTTTGCTTCTCAGCAAGGAATCTGAATCTACTCTAACCTGGTGTTCTTCCACTGGGACTCTTCTTCCTTTCTCTCTTTCAAGGTTCAGCTCCATAACCCTTTGCACGTGAAGCCCTCCCTTGGAGATATCAGTCCATAGTAATTGCTTTGTTCTCTGAATTCCTAGACCCTTGTTGCCTCTCTCCCTGGCCACACCACTCTCTTGTGTGTGTTTCTATCTAGATTGTGGACTCCTCGAGGACTGGGACCCTGCCCTCCACCTGTACATCCCTCTACAGCATTGGATGATTTTCACAGAAGGTACAAGAAGGAGAAATACATTCAGGAAAGATGTCAGGAGACTAACATCTTCCTGTAACATTGGATTGATAGATACAGCACATTTTATCCTTCCAAAGTCTTTGGATTATGTTTTTTTTTTTTTTTAAGATTTTATTTATTTATTTGAGAGAGAGAGAATGAGAGACAGACAGCACGAGAGGGAAAAGGGTCAGAGGGAGAAGCAGACTCCCTGCTGAGCAGGGAGCCCGATGTGGGACTCGATCCCGGGACTCCAGGATCATGACCTGAGCTGAAGGCAGTCGCTTAACCAACTGAGCCACCCAGGCGCCCATGGATTATGTCTTATAATAAAGTTTAAAGTTTAATCTTTGTTCAGTAGGCACGACATGCAAAAAATAAATTGCCATTATTATTATTAGCATTTTCTAACTAACAGATTTTTCAGAAGCTGTTCCCATATCAAGAAGATCAACCTTTCTGTTGTCATAGAGACAAAGATCTTTATATAACCATGGCAAGGTGAAAACATTTTTTTCCCTCTCCTTCCAGTTGTCTGAAACTAATAAGAAAAGGAAAAGGAAAAGGAAATGTTTTAAATCATTTTTTTCTTTTACTCCCCCTCCATTAGAATGAATGAACATGTGGGAGGCTATTTTTTGTATCATATTTTAGATTTTAAATACCTAAGTTTTTAATAAAACATGGAAGAGGTAGAAAGATATGAATGATTGAACAGTGCCATTTTCCAAATTTGCAAACAGTAGGCTTGTCAATGACAAACAATTGTAATCTATATTCCTTTTTTCCCCCCTTTAAACCAAATAGTGGACTTTATATGGAAGTCTTACAAGGCAGACTTCCAAGGCCTGGAAGATTAAAATACAAGCTAGCAGCTACTGAGAGGCAATGATGAATTCTAAAATGCTGTGCAATAATACTTGGTTCCTCCAACCCCCAGAAACAAGAGTGCTGCCCTTCTTTCTGCAGAGTCAGACCCTATGCGTGACTTCGTGTAAGACCCTATCTCTCTTCTGGGTGCCTTCTTTTGTAATTTCAGCTTTCTTTTTCTGGCGAACCCCTGATAATTTGTTATTCATAACATTTTTTTTTCCTATCTTGTAATTATGGTTTACCATTTCATTCATTCATCGTCAAGGAAAGAGGATTTCAGTATGAAGCTGTTCACTTTTCCTGTCTTCTGCCTCAATGTGAAGTTATACCTTTATCCATCCCCCCAGGACTCAGAAGCATCCCTCTCTCAGATTAACCCTTCCCCTGTGATCTGAGACGACACTCTTCTCCCACCCTCACAGAGATCTTACTCCATCAAATATATTCTCCCCCAGCCCTCCTATCTTCAGTCTGTCCTCCATGCATTCCTTCCCTTATTCCTCCTTGAAGACAAAAACGAACAAAACCTTTTCTCAATCCTGCATATTTTCCATATGTATCAGAGTTTGGGCTTTTAATTTGATCATAGCTGCCTTTTGCAATAAATAGGTATTTTGTATGTGTGTGTGTGTTGGGGGGGCATGGGGAAGGAAAGTATATGGCAAAGGAAGTTGAAAACATACTCTTGCTTTCCACAAGATTATATCCTTCATGGAGAGTAATATCTTGGTTCTCAAACTTTAGCATGCATCAGAACCACTTGGGGAACTTGTTAAAACACCAGCTGTTGTACCACATCCTCAGAGTTTCTGATTCAGTAGATTGGGGGTGGGCTCAAGAGTGTGCTTTTCTAACATTTCCCAGATGATGCTAATGGTGCTGGTCTAGGACCACGTTTTGAGTAACATTGCCTTAAAGTAACTACCCTTCTATCCCTTCTTATGTATTTCTCTTGGTATGTGGATGGATGTTGAGGTCACTTTATTGTGCCAAGATGGTTCTCACCTAAAGGAGGATTACCTGATGTTCAAGAAGCCTGACCTTGTGAGGGGTAGGATGCTTGCTGACCTAAGGTGTCTAAATGTCTAGAAGATACTCTTAGTGTGGATGCCAAGATAGTGTGTGTATGTGAATTTAGGAAAGGGTATTTTCTTACAAAGACAAGCAAATATAAAAACACAATTAACAGTCTTTGCTACTCAATAGCAAAAGGGGACCTTGGTCAGGTTATTCCAATTCTTTGGATCTCAGTTTCTTGAAGTCTGTATGATAAGTACTGGGCGAGTGAGAAAGGCTATTAGTGGCACAATCATTCATAAGAGCAAGATGGGAGGTTTGTCAGGGAAGGACAAAGGGCTGGGACTTGGAAGGCAGGTTCCATGAATTTGTTGATTGATTGAAACCAATTCTATCAGCATGGTCCTCACCTTCAGGGAAATGAGCTGACAAGGTAATTAATGGAAACTAATTAATATAAACCCCTCAATCTTTAAACTGTATCTCTCAACTGCAAACATTCCCTGAAGGCCACTAACTTCATTCATTTATTTATTTAGAATCTCTCTCTCTCTTTTTAAAGATTTTATTTATTTTATTTATTTGTCAGAGAAAGAGAGAATGAGAGAGAGCGAGCACAAGCAGGGGGAGCGGCAGGCAGAGGGAGAAGCAGGCTCCCCGCTGAGCAAGGAGCCAGATGCAGGGCTCGATCCCAGGGCCCTGGGATCATGACCTGAGCCGAAGGCAGGCGCTTAACCGACTGAGCCACCCAGGCGTCCCAAGGGAGAGAGAGAATCTTAAGCAGGCTCTACACCCAGTACTGGAGCCCGATGTGGGGCTGGCTCTCTCAACCCTGAGATCATGACTTGAGCCGAAATCAAGAGTGGGATGCTTAACTGACTGAGCCACCCAGGCGCCCCATGATCATAGACCACTAACTTTTTGAGGGGAGAGGCTCAGCTCCTCAGGAGGGAGGGGAACTCCCTTCATGAAGTGGACTCCTGACTGACTGCTGGGGCCCAAGGAGAGGTGGGGGATTTCCTCTTTCCTCCCCAAGAATGGAATTTCATCACTGCCAATGGTTAGAATATAACCACAGCCCCCACCAGCCTAGTGCCTTTTGGATACTTTTACAGTACTTTTCTTTCTTCTTTTCTTTTAACAACTTTATTGAGATATAATTCATATGCCGTAATATTCACCCATTTAAAGTGTACAGTGCAATGGTTTTTAGTATGTCTGTGGAGTTGTGCAATCATCACCACTATCTAATTTTAAGCAACTTTTGTTATCCCCAGAATCCACAGCCGTTAGCAGTCATTGGGCCTTCACCCCTACCCGGCAGCTACTAATCTGCTTTCTATCTGGACATTTCATGTAAATAGAATCATATAATGTGTGGTAACTTTTTTCTTCTTTTTTTGTTAAAGATTTTATTTATTCATGAGATAGAGGGAAGGAGGGAGAGAGAGAGAGGGGGAGAGAGAGAGAGAACAAGCAGGGGGGGAGGGGCAGAGGGAGAGGGAGAACCAGACACCCGCCCCTTCCACGGGAGCCTTATGCGGGGCTTGATCCCAGGACCCTGAGATCATGACCTGAGCGGAAGGCAGACGTTGGACTGACTGAGCCACCCAGGCGCCCCATTGTGTGGTACCTTTTTCTAAATCGAAGAGAAGAGACCAGGGTGACACTGATACACTAGCACTAAAGGCCCTTCGTCTCTCCACCCCATCACGTCAGTAAACAACTTCCTCCACCTGCTTGCTGATGTATGCAATTATTTTAATCACCTCTGTAAACGGGAGGCCTGGGTGGTGTGTGGGAGGTGTGACACAAGGCACACCTTGATCAGACAACCAGATAGAACTGCAAGTGCGTCTGGGAAGGGGCAGAGCAGTGGCTCGTATGCTTACTAAGGTGCGCCTGGGCACTGGTTGGGAGAGGCGGCCAGCCAGCAATCCCGGTTGAGTGACTAGGTCACCCCTTGCCATAGGGCGCGCCACCCCATGCCTAGAGGAGCGCAGGGTGCCAGAGGCCACAGTAACCTTCACCGCGCTGGCTGGCGCAAGGGTCAAAGACGGAGACAGCTGCTGATTGAGAAGCATCACACCCGGTCCCCTTCCAGCAGAGGCAGGGAGCAGGCCTTCCCCCGTGGCTTCTGGGCAATTCCACGCCCCTTGCCACAGCCCCAACGGGGGATATCGGGAAATCTCGGGCCTGGGGTCGCCAGGGACTGCAGGGTGCGCCGGCAGGCGGGGCCCCCACCCAAGGCGCGGCGCGGGATGGCAAAGACAGTCCCCAAGCTTTGCCTTCTCACCACTTTAAAAGGTGGAATTTGATAGGGCGAAGCCGTTTTCTCCAAGCTTCCAGGTAAATGGGGCCAAAGAGTAGGGAGACAAGGTGGCCCGGAGCGAGCGAGGGTGCCGGGCCGGGGCGCCGCGTACTCACAGTCGGGTGAGGCCGGCCCGCGGGCCGGGGCAGCGCAGGGCGCCGTCGGGCGGGCAGCGGCAAGGTTCCGGGCAGTGCGCCCTGGGGAGCGCCCGCGGCAGCAGCAGCAGCAGCAGCAGCAGCGCCAGCAGCGGCCGCAGCGCCGGCACCCGCCGCCCCATGGCAGCGAGCGTGAGCGCGGGCTCTGGCGGCCGCGCGAGTGCCCGGGCCAGCCCCGGAGTGCCGCCCGCGCCCCTCTCCCCGCCCCTTGGCCTGCCCACCCCCTCTCCCGCGCCCGCCCGCCGCCCTCGGCTGCTGAGACCGTTCTGCCCCGACCTGGGGTAGTGGCCAGCGACCCCTCCACCTCCTCCTTTCTGCTGCTTTCCCTGGCCTGCCCTGCCCTCCAGTTATAGGAAGGGGGGTGTGGTAATGGTGAATGCTTCGGACGAGGGCTGGGGAGTTCCGAATTCTCACCCAGGCCCTGCTGCAACCGAGTGTGAAGTTGAGTGAGATTTGTCACTTCCAAGAACTTCTCTTATTTCATCTGTGAGAGGAGCAGACGAATACTCTACCCCGCACCGATGCTTTTCCTCTCCTTGGTTCTCAGCCCTAAAACCTTCCTCCTTCTCCCCCACCAACTCCCTCTCCACAAGTAATCTCTGTCCTCTCAACTTCCCAAGTAATTTCTCTGCATTTTTCTTGGTAGTAACCACTTTTTTTTCCTTATGGTATAGCTATTTGAGTCTGTTCTCTATCTCCACTATAGATTGTGACGTCCTGGAGAGCAAAATCCAGTTCAGATTTATTTTTCTATCCCTGGCTCCTATATGTTAAGTCTCTAATAAAGATTTGTTGAATGAATGAAAGAGTGATGATAATGTACAGCAACTGCCCCTAGGAGAGGCCCCTTACAGGCTAGACCCTGTGACAGGTTCCCTCCCTCCAGTCATGTCTAAACTTCACAGCAAACTCCCGGGGCGTTTGCAGCAAGAAAAATGATGTCGGGAGAGGTTACGTGACTTCCCTAAAGTCACACAGTTCTTAAGTAGTGGTAACCTGTTTGAACTTACATCCATCACCCACTTTATCTTACCGGTGCAAAAAATCACTCTGTGATCTGCATATGAAGGATGTCTCCTTTAGAAAGGAGACAATTTTATGGTTAACTATGGGAACGCATAATTTCCCCTATTCAGTTTCATCATAAAAATGCTTTTCCTTCTGCCTTTACAATGACTCTGTTTGGACTCTGGAAATCCTGGAAGTCTTGCTGGAAGAGATGGACTTTGAGAGCCTAGAAGGCGTCTAAGACTCTACAGATAGGAAGTGAAAGAACAGATTTCTTTCTTTCTTATTTGAAACCAACTCTCAAGGTCAGACTGACTCAGTCACCAGTATGTAGTCGCTTGTGAGTTTTTTTGCCCAAGGAAGGTAGATTTTTAAAAATTATTATTAAAAAAATGGCTTTCCTCATATTGTGCTAGATAGCACGAAAAACAAAGCTTATGTCTATAATACTGTCTTTCTTTTTCGGATCCCTCTCTCCAACTGCTTAGTTGATCTCCTCACCCTTTCATACTTCTGCATATGCTATTCATTTTTAAATTTTTAAAAAAGATTTTATTTATTTATTTGACAGAGAGAGAGTGAGAGAGGGAACACAAGCAGGGGGAGTGGGAGAGGGAGAAGCAGGCCTCCCGCTGAGCAGGGAGCCCAAAGCGATGCCATGTGATTAGGTGCTCACCTGGGATCCTGACCTGAGCTGAAGGCAGATGCTTAACGACTGAGCCACGCAGGCGCCCCTGCATATGCTATTCATTTACCTGGAATGATTTTTTTCTTCCTTTTCCATATCCCATTAGTTAAACTCCTGGTTTTCTTTGAAGACTGAGCTCAATGTCATTTTCACTGTAATACCATCTCTGACACAACCTAGCTGAGTTTGTGGCTTTGACACCTGATTCTATAGTCTGTAATGTAATACATTGTAATTACGGCTTTAGTTTTCCTTCCTTCCCCCTATTGATCTTAACATTGCTTGAACATGTCATGGCTTCTAGCTTCTAGTAGGTGCTCAGTCTATATCTATTGAGTAACGGAATGAATAAGTGAAACCCAAGTGCAGACCTCTAGCATATGTTTAGTAAATCATCTGAGAAGAACTTAACAGCCTTGCTTGATTTATTCTCAACCCCACTGGATCAATCGGGATAGGTATCAGGTAATTACTCATGACTACTTTGGGTCACATATTCTCTCCTCTTTAATTTGTCAGATTTTGGTAGGGAAGTTGGAGTAGCACTGGGGTTTTCAAATCTTTCCACCATGTAGCTTGAATTGTAGGAGAGAAGGAATAACTCACCATGGCTGAGTGGTATTTATTTCAAATCTTACATTTCATGTGGCTTTTTCTTTTTCCTTCACGGCATATCTGTTATGTAAAAAGAGTGGTTGCTTCCACTTGCCCCGGAAGAACCATTTGATTCTGTGCTTGGGTATCCTCGGGGGCTACTTATACTCCAATAGGAGAAGGACTGGGCCATCATGGCATCCGGATTTTTTTTTTTCCTGTTCTGTCATCAACTGTGTGACTTGGTCTTTGGTCTCTTCATCTAAGAGGAGGGGTTGGAGTTCACAATCCCTAAAGCTCTTCTAGGTCTTTGTGGACAGTATTAGTGGTAGAAAGAGTCAGACTGTGTACATTGACTTCTTATTGCTTGTCTTGGATTGAAAGTAAAATCCTGTTTATCAAGAGGGTAAGTTGTTCATTTCGAAGAGAACTCACAACCTTAATGAGTTTTCATAAAGTTTTTCTATCTGTGATTAGTTTCAGTTGGATTTTAATTATTGTGTCAGTTCTTGCAATGTACCTATGTACCTATTTTAACAAAATTACATTGAATTATGATCGCTTCTCGGCCTTTTGGCTAAGATCAAGTGTAAAATTACACTGAATTGTTTGTTATAATCACAAAAGTTTGTTACAATGGAATTTACCTCTCATACTCATTAATATGTGACCTATTTAGAGGAGATATTTTTAAATCTGAAGGGATTCTGTGTACTATAACTATGCTTATAGTTACTTTTGTTACAGATCTTCAAAAGAGCATGACCCACAGGGATTGCTATTATATTTTACTGACACACTAAAGTTCATGGAATTCACAAGAAGTTTATCCTGCCTTAGAGATACAGAAATATCTGACACCACAACTCAGAAATCCTAATAAAACTCTCCCAAATTCTAGAGTGGGGCTTCTTATATTTTAGGATGCAAAGTATCATTTGGGAAATTTTAAAGACAAACACTCCTGGGACACTCTCCCCAGAGAAATTCTGATTCAGCTGGTATGGAGTGGGGCCCAGGAGTCTGCATTTTTTAAGGGGGGTGGGGCAGAGGGAGAGGGAGGGAGAGAGAGAGAGAGAACCTTGAGCAGTCTCCACACACATCATGGAGCCTAACTAGGGGCTCAGTTTCACAACCCTGAGATCATGACCTGAGCAGAAATCCAAAGTCGGTTGCCTAATTGACTGAGTCACAGGGGTGCCCCCAGGAGTCTGCATTTTATTTTATTTTATTTTATTTTATTTTTTAAAGATTTATTTATCTGAGAGAGAGAGAGAGCATGAGTGGGGGTGGTGGTGGTGGTGGTGGTGGAGGGGCAGAGGGAGAGAGAGAGAATATCAGGCAGACTCCCCACTGAGCAGGGAGCTGGAGGCTGGGCTCAGTCCTATTATATATATATATATATATTATATATATATATTAATAGTCACTCAGGAGTCTGCGTTTTAACAAACTCCCCATGTAATTAAGATTCATGAGGTACCTAGAGCATAACTGGTGAAACACTAAAATGGAAATTTTAGAATTAAATTTACCTCGGGAAGATAAGCCTCAAGAATCCTTACTAAGGACTCTGAATGAAGCCTAAGAATTTTGATGCACTGTTAAAGAAACATGGCATATGTAAGCACAAGTATATAAATAGTAGTGTGCATTTGTGTAAAATTGCTCAATTGGTTGTAATGCTGAGGCATTTTTTTTAAAAGTAGCAATCAGTTTATTTTAATTTTTAAATTTAAATTTATTTTAATTTGTCAGGAGGGGGAGTGAACAATTTCACAAGATTATGGATCCTATTTTTCTTTTCTTTCTTTCTTTTTTTTTTTTTTAGAGGGGAATCCTATTCTTCTTTATGCCTGAATAGATCAGAACTCAGTAGCACTTGATGCCACACTAAGACATTGGAGTTGGAGGAAGTCAGGAAAATAATAATAATAAAAAAACCTCAAGTAGAATAGGCAAAATTTTCTGATTCTTGAACATATGTCCTGTTAGTATCGTAACAGATATTTGTTCCTCTTGAAAGCAGTAGTTTTACCTGTCCCTCAGAAGAAAAGGTGAATGTGGGCAGAGGAAAAAAAAAAATGTGTAAGGAAAGAAAAATACAGTTACCCCTGTGAGCTTCTCACCTTGCCTACTGGAACAAAACCAAACAAAACAAGAAAGGTGAACCCTGCAAGTTACACTCAGAAATTTTGTGCAGTTTGCTTGAAATTTCGTTCTCCATTTCACCGTCTACATGGTGTGAAGTCAGAGATGTGATCAGCTGTGCCCACCTCCAGCACTGCTCTGGGGCTTCTGTGGCCTTAGGAGGAACTAGCTAGAAGCTGCAGGCTGACGGGCACCTGGGCCCTAGTCCTGGGGGTAGGTCTGGGAGTGGAGGGTGAGACCTTCCTGGGGCCTGAGACTCCCTCTCTAAAGCTGACACACTTTCTGGTCATGATGTTGCCCGAGGATGTGAATGAATTGGCAGTTGCCATCCTTGTCTCAGGAAAAAAGCCCATCTGCTCTGACAGTGACTAAAGCTACAGAGAGAAAAACAGAGATGAGAGACCAATGGGGGCAAACCGTCTGAGGCCAGCACCTCCCTTGGACGTCCCAAGTAATGAGCCAATACATTTCCTCTTTTGCTTAATTAAGCTCGTTGGAGTTGAGTTTCACTTGCCACCAAAATTTCTAACCTCTACTATCTCTACTGTGTGTGACCTTTCTTTGACCCACTACTTCCCCCACCTGCTCTCAGATAGGAAAGAAATAGGGTTTTTCTATTCTTACCTCCGTTATAGGACTCATCACAAACACAGTGGATTTTTTCTCCTTTGCATTGACAGTATTTACCAATGTACTTC